AAGTTTCTTAGAGATAGCATCTGCAGGATCTGAAATACCAGTTCTCATAAAAAAATATAAAAAAAATTCTTGGCTAGAATCATGCTGCTGTAGTTTGAAAAAAAATACAGAAACTCAAGTTGGCATGATCAAATCATACATAACCTTGTCAAATTTGCAGGATATAATGTACAAATATGTCAAAGTATAAAATGTCAACGCCAAGCACTTGGCTTATCTCTCATGCCCTTACAACTCTTTTCCTGACAAAGTAATGACGGAAAACCCAATCAATGAAAGACAAATACTTTTTTTAAGAACAGAAAAAAGGAGCTTTGGCCCAAAAATAAATGCAAACTTAAGAAACAAAATTTTAGTGTTCTTTGTACCAACTTAATCAAAATCATCTGAGGCTGTGTAGTTTGCAGTGGCAGCAATATTGATAACTGTTTCAGGAATGGTCAGCATTTTACCACTTTTGCAATCAAAATACGCCATATTTAATGCTTAGTTTTGCCACAAAGTTCTTAAATAACTGTTCCAAGGTTCTGTGAACAAACGGTAAATTGTTTATCACTTGAACAGCATTCAAAAAACACAAAATGGAAACATTCTTAAAACACATCCGGCTTCTAGGAAAGTTCACTGCGCATTGACTTGCTTCGGGGCAGATCTATGCATGTCACATGATCTCGCTATGCAAATGAGGGTGGTAGAATTTTTAAAAGTCTGCTCCAAGTCAAAGCTAATTCAGACCAACACTAACTTTATTTACAAGAAAACCACAATGGATCTAACCCAAAAAGTGGACCAAACTAGAGGATCAGAGAGGCGATACCGCCTCCGAGTATTGTACCACCAGCTGGAGTAAGCGCATTCGTATGAAACCCTCCCCCCCCAAAAAAAAAGGGACACCAGTCTTGTGCTTGACAAGCTCTATAAAATGAAATCAACAAGAGTTCTCAAAATATGCAAAAAAATATAACAAAAAATGGTACAATCAAGCAGATTTTCAAATTGACCTGCATTTTCCTACCATTGATCACTCATGTGATTCTCTAGACAAAAGGCCTATTGGTTTTCCTTGAAATGTGTTGTCAGTGGTGCATATATGCTGACAAAAGAGAAAACCTAGGGGCAACACCGGGAACATCTCTGCTAGCTTTGAAGATATGAGGGGCAAGAAAATATACAAAGCTCAGTTCATGGTGAAAAAGTAGGTCAAAGGTCAATTTCAATATCACTGTATATGAATTTCTATTCAAGTTCAATAGTAACCATGGGCATTTCTTTGCCAATTTTGCAGATTTAAAGGCCAGAAAAAATATAAAAAGCAGTTCATCATAAAAAGTAGGTCAAAGGTCAATTTCAAGGTCACAGAAAAATTACCAGTATAAAACTTCCTATTCAAGTTCAATAGTAACTATGGACCTATCTCTAAAAGGGAACGGAAATTTGCAAAGTTCAGTTAATGGTGAAAAGTAGGTCAAAGGTCAATTTTAAGGTCACAGTAAATTGCCTCTAATGACTTTCTATTCAAATTCAATAATAACCATGGGCGTATCTTTGCCAGTTTTGAAAGTATAAGCATTAAAAAAGTTGCAAAGTTCAGTTTATGGTGTAAAGTAGGTCAAAGGTCAATTTCAAGGTCACAGTAAGATTACCAGTATAAGACTTCCTATTCAACTTCAATAGTAACTATGGACCTATCTCTGCCAGTTTTGGAGATAAAAAAGAACCAAAATTTGAAAGTTCAATTCATGATGAAAAGTAGGTCAAAGCTCAATTTCAAGGTCACATTTAGATTGCCTGGATATGACTTCCTATTCAAGTTCAATAGTAAATATGGACCTATCTCAGCCAGTTTTGGAGATAAAAGGGAAGCAAAATTTGCAAAGTTCAGTTCATGGTGAAAAGTAGGTCAAAGGTCAATTTTAAGGTCACAGATAGATTGCCTCTAATGACTTTCTATTCAAATTCAATAGTAACTATGGACGTATCTTTGCCAGTTTTGAAAGTATAAGCATTAAAAAAGTTGCAAAGTTCAGTTAATGGTGTAAAGTAGGTCAAAGGTCAATTTCAAGGATACAGTAAGATTACCAGTATATGACTTCCAATTCACCAGGTTTGGCGTTAAAAGGGAAAGAAATTAGCAAAGTTCAGTTCATGATAAAAAGTAGGTCAAAGGTCAATTTCAAGGTCACGCTTAGATTGCCAGTGTATGACTTCCTATACAAGTTCAATAGTAACTATGGATCTATCTCTGCCAGTTTTGGAGATAAAGGGAATGAAAATTTGCAAAGTTCATGGTGAAAAGTAGGTCAAAGGTCAATTTTAAGGCCATAGTAAATTGCCTCTTATGACTTTCTATTCAAATTCAATAGTAACTATGGGCATATTTTTGCCAGTTTTGGAGATGAAAGAGAACCAAAATTTGCGAAGTTCAATTCATGATGGAAAGTAGGTCAAAGGTCAATTTCAAGGTCACACTTAGATTGCCAGTATATGACTTCCTATTCAAGTTCAATAGTAACTATGGACCTATCTCTGCCAGTTCTGGAGATAAAAGGGACTTAAAAGTTGCAAAGTTCAGTTCATAGTGAAAAGTAGGTCAAAGGTCAATTTCAAGGTCACAGTTTGATTGCCAGTATGTGACTTCCTATTCAACTTTAATAGTTGAAATGGGAGGTGCTCAGAAGTTCCAGATGTTCAAATTTCATGAAATAATGTCATTTTTGTCATTTATGTTTTATTTTCCCGGAGTTCAAAATTTGTTATCCATTACCGTATTGCACATTTTGCTTTCACCACCACAATGTACTTTTTGATACAGCATAACTCAAAAACCGTATGGAATACAAAAAAACGGAGACCACCTCCAGTGTTGGGCTTTACATGCTCTACAAAATGCAAAAAAGAATGGGTCTCTAGCATTAACGGTTCCCGAATTAGAGACAGTTTTCAGTTTTGTTATATTATGGCCGCTACTCCCAGGAAAATGCACCGGTTGACCCCAAATTCACAGAGATGAAAGATGACCTGAAGGGTAGCACCTTCCAATAATATAATAGGTTAGGTCTGTGTAGTTTCTGAATATTGGCGCAAATAATTTTTTTTCGAAAAAAAAATTTCGTTTTTTTGAAAATTTTGGCTCGTTTGAGCTTGAAATAAAGGTCAAAGGTCAAATCCAAGGGCATATTTGAAATCTCCACATATGACTTTCGGATAGCCGTCTGTAGAAATTTTTCCCATAATTCCTTCCGTAGGGTAGATAATTAGCATTTAATTTTGCCATTTTTGGACAAGGGTGCATTGCAATGAGTGCCACACCTAGACCCCAATTCTGACAAAGCCCAAATTTTACGTAGAACGAGTTGAGATTATAGGTGACCTAAATCCAAGAGATGGGTATGGAGGCCCTTACCGTCTAGGAGGAGAAGCGGTAACGGTGAGATGGCGGCGGAGCCGGCGGAACATGCGGGTTGGGACTAAAACCATGTGTACCGCCAGCGCCTACGCTGGTGGTACAATTATATATATACAGATAATACAGTGATTGGGAAGGAACGCTCCTTGCGCTCCTTGCACTACTACGAGTAGTAGTGACACTGACAGTAGTGTTACTGCTAGTGCTAGCACCTCTCACTCCCAGGTCGCACGAGGTTTCAAACCCGGATGGCTTCAACTATGGCCCTAGCTCCAGTACGCCAGCACCCAAACGAAAATGTTCTGCGAATCACCTGCTAAGAGTTAAGATTCTTGGAAGTAAGATAAGTTATGAGGATGCACTGAATGTGTGGCGCAGGAAAAAGAGATTACTTCATTAAGTAATGAAATCTCTTTTCAGTAAGACTGATTAATAAGTACTAGACAGTATGTGAGGACAATTTCATTTACATTTTCTCAGTTTTGAGAAATCAAGGTTTTCAGAGATCTAGATTGTTTACCTCTTGTTGATGGTTTCATCAAATAAAAACCAATTACTAATGAGTATTACATGTTTTCTGATCATTTTGTTTTTTCATTTAGTCTTCAAATAAGGTCAGTAAAGAAGGCATTGTAATGGTTTTATTGAAAAAGACAAATAAAAGTCTTAACTAAATAAATATATTAACAAAGTTTAACTGCAAAACCTTATCACATCATTCCCAAAAATATTGGTACAGATATTTCAAATATATTTGTCATGTTTAAAAATGGCCCATAAATGTCAAGCAATGACCCATTGATATGCAAAATGGCCCATTAAGGGTGACCCAGGAGGGGCCATTGTCCCATGGGTGGTTTGAACCTTCCCAATCACTGTGTATATATATATATATATATATATATATATGTCTAAAGGTTTAGACTGATATTTAAGCTAGGATTCCTTTGTGAAACTGGGCCCCAGTGAGTGAGGCAAACTGAAACAGAGGCAGGTCATTAATTTCATTGGGAACGAGCCCTTAATTAGACCCTACTTTGCCTTATAACATTTAATTTTCTTCCTCTCCCCTACCTTACCCACCCTACCTTATACATAACCCACCCTACCCTTCCTTTCCTTATCCTACCCTGCTCCACTCCCCCCCTCCCCCTCCCCTCCCCTCCCCTCCAGTCCACTCCACCCCCTCCCCTATCCTGTAGTAGTAACAAGGTGTTATGAAAAATTCAGATGACTGGCCTTCCACCCACAGATAAAAGCCCAGGTTTTAGCAAAAAAAAAAAAAAACTCCGAACTTTTATTGTGGAACCAAACACCAAACGTAAATTTTTTCGTGTTTAATTGCTCGGGGGTCATGTAAAAAATTCCGTGATTCCCTGGAAAAAGCTCATATCTGCACCCGGTTCTATGAATCTATTCACACAAGGCAGAGCCAGTAGCAAGCATATATATATATATATATATATATATATATATATATATATATATATATATGCATCATAATAAATTCATATTACAGGCTTAAAGTGATTTCTATACATGTATCAGGCACTTTGGGTGTGAATTAAGTGTAAACCTCACAGCTTTTACTCACCATGCTCACTGTGGAATCCCACATTATGAAATGCCACAGAGGAAGGTGGCGGTGGCAGAGGCATGTTTCTGCGTCCGCCCTCCTCATGATTGGCCCCTGGAAGGGGAGGGGGCGGGGCTGGCCACAGGTCACTGGGGCCGTGGTCCTCAGATTTACTGCCAGTATTTGGTACGTTAGTTACACAGCTTGCATGGAGGTCATTGATTAATGCATCAAGGTCAATGTCGTCTGAAAAAATATAGGTCATTGATTAATGCATCAAGATCAATATTGTCAGAAAAAAATATAGGTCACTGATTATTGCATCAAGGTCAATGTCGTCTGAAAAAAATATAGGTCATTGATTAATGCATCAAGGTCAATGATATCTTCTAATAACCCAACAAATACATAACATTTTCAACACATTTTTAAAAGGTTGTCACAGTTACATTTCTGCACATCATTTTACTAACATTGTTTTAACATTTTCATAGAGTTTATGAAGCATTTTGGTGAAAATGTTATACACAACATTTGGAAAACATTTTCAAAACATTGTCCCCATAACGTATTTGCAAAACATTTTACTAACATTATTAAAACATTTTCATAATGTTTTTAAAACATTCTGGTGAAAACATCATTAAAAAATCTTTTAATAACATTTTTAAAACCTTTTGGTGAAAATGTTATTAAAACATTTTTTAAAAATGTTTTTAAAAATTTGGGTAAATACATAATTAAAATGTTTTTTTATAACATTTTAAAAATGTTTTGGTGAAAACATTATTAAAACATTTTTTAAAATGTTTTTAAATGTTTTGGTGAAAATGTTATTAAAACATTTCTTTAACATTTTAAAAATATTTTGATAAAAACATTACTAAAACATTTTTTTTTAATTTTTGATGAAAATGTTATTTAACCATTTTTACAACATTTTAAAACCTTTTGGTGAAACTGTTTTTAAAATGTTTTGGTAAAAACGTAATTAAAATGTTTTTTTATAACATTTTAAAAACATTTTGGTGAAAACGTTATCAAAACATTTTTTAAAATGTTTTCAAATGTTTTGGTGAAAATGTTACAAAAAAAATTTTTATAACATTTTAAAAACGTTTTGGTAAAGATCTTCTTAAAACATTTCTTTTACATTTTTAAAATATTTTGATGAAAACATTACTAAAACATTTTTTTTAATGTTTAGTTGAAAACATTATTAAAATATTTTTAATAACATTTTGATGAAAATGTTATCTAAACATTTTTACAACATTTTAAAACCTTTTGGTGAAAATGTTTTTAAAATGTTTTGGTAAAAACGTAAGTAAATGTTTTTAATAACATTTAAAAAAATGTTTTGGTGAAAATATTTTTAATGTTTTTAAAATGTTTTGGTGAAAATGTTTTTAGAACGTTTATTTAGGTTTTGGAAAAAATGTTATTAAAATATTTCCTTTTATAATGTTTTTAAGACATTCTGGTGAAAATGTTATTATTACAGTTTTTAACAATCTAAATTGTTTTGATGAAAAAATTATCAAAACATTTTTAATAATGTTTTAAAAAAGTTTGGTGAAAACACTATAATAAACAATTTTTAAAAAGTATTAAAAGTGTTTCAGTGAAAACATTAAAACATTTTTTAATTACGTTTTTAAAACATTTTGGTGAAAATGTTATTTAAACGTTTTTATAACATTTTAACATGCTTTGGTGAAAATGTTATAAAAATGTTTTTAAAAAATGTTTTTAAATGTTTTGGTAAAAATGTTATTTAAATGATTTTTATAATGTTTTAAAAACGATTTGGTGAAAATGTTATTAAAATGTTTTTTTATAATGTTATTAAAATGATTTTTAATAATGTTTTAAAAACGATTTGGTGAAAATGTTATTAAAATGTTTTTTTTATAATGATATTAAAATGTTTGGGTGAAAACGTTATTAAAACATTTTTAAAAAACATTTTTAAAATGTTTTGGTGAAAACAATATTAAAACGTTTTTTTCAACGTTTTGGAAAAATATTATTTTAATATGTTAATGTTTCTTTTAAAATGCTTTTAATACATTTTGGTCAAAATATTATTATAACATCTTTTTCACAAATTTTAAATTTTTTGATGAAATGTTATTAAACATTTTTTTGTTATATTTTTAAAATGTCTTGGTCAAAACATTAAAACGCTGTTTAAAAATGTTCTTAAAAAGTTTTGGTGAAAACGTCATTAAAATGTTTTTTATCACATTTTAAAAACATTTGTCATCACCTAATAATAAATTTTTTGATGATAATCATGGACACAGGACAAAAGAGCATTTCCAACCATATAAGACCCTCACCTGTGGGCACAAGCTGTTCTGTGGAATCGCTGATGTTGTCATGGTGCATCAAATGGTGATGGTGTGGCTGGTGATGGTGGTGATGATGGTGATGGTGAAGATGGTGCTGGTGTCCCGGTGTCCCCACACCAGTCTTATTAAAGTGGTGCAACTCTCCACTCTGAGGTCCTGCCATACTTAAATGTCCTTACTAACTGAAATGAACAGAAGAATTATAAATCGCATTGAAAAACCAAATATTAGACTGGGTTCCCATACCTAGATTGATCTAACAGGATCAATCCATCTTTAAAGGGTTTCTCACTAAGTTACTTTCAGCTTAAGCGACTTAAACGTCAGCTGGCATGCCTACTGAAGCTACTTAACGATAATTTTTTACACCCTCGCACCCTTGATTTAGCAAGAATCCCCTCAGAGATAGATCTCATCACAGTTAGTTCTGGGTCTGGGAAAGGTCCCTTATTTCTAATGAAATTATGATTAAAATCTATTAAAATTATGAGATTATGACTATAAATGGAAAAATCAAGATTAATGTAAATCACTACTATGAGGAATTGGCACGGGGAAGTTTTTTTGGTAAGTGAAACAAATTTTACTGAAATATAGAAAATAAATGAATAAATGGATAGCTGGACTGAACGTTTCTTCAGCAACTAACATGAAAAATTCAAATGTTCACTGATAAAAATTTATTAACAGTTAAAACTGGTAAAAATTTTTAAAAATGATTTGTGATACCACTTCAGATTTCAAATACAGTAGGATATAAGAGTACACTTCAACACACACAAAAATGATATTGTTGGAATGACAACAAACTTTCAGTAAACCCTACGCAAAACAAATATCTGGTAAATAAACAATACCATGATGCCACTGACAGCGATATTTTCAAAAATCTCTTAGCGTCCTTCAACTTCCATGCAACTCCAAACTTCCATGCCAGGTCTATAGGCACAGTGACTCATTAATAAATACTCTTATAAAAAACATACATATCCACCTCATGTACACTCAAAACATGAAATCACAGCAGGGGATTTCCTTAACCCATTGCCACATCTCATATTCAACAACAAACCTCACCTGAGAGCTACAGGAGATCATGCTATTAAAATAGCTGCTCAAATCACTATGGTAATGACTATCTTTTCAATGGGGGAAAATTGTGAATTTTACAAATATTGTGTTTTCAAGTCATATAATTTTTATACTTAAATTTAGAAATATTTTATTGAGTGGTAGGAACAAGATTGAAAAGCAGGCTGCCCGAGAGTTCTGTACAGTCAAAGCAGCATGAATGCTAGACAGAAATATAACTTTTTGGATTCCAGAATTATTTAAAATTGAAAGATTAATAATTTTTGCCCATTGAAAAGTTTGGATCATTACCATATCTATCACACACACCCCGCACCAAAACAAAAACAAAAAAACACACACACACACACACATACACGCACACACACACACACACACACACACACACACACACACACAGGCCTAAGGCTCTGTGCAAAATAACACTTTCTTTTAGAAAATTAGAAGTTGCCAAACACAGCATGCGCTACATATTCCACTGAATACTTCACCTTGCAGTCTAACCTGTCAGCAATGAAAACCACCACTACCTGTAATCAGTTGGAAACCATATGCTGATTAGGTAGTAAATGCCTGGCTCTGGTATATGACCCATTTAAAACCACTGAGCCATGTTAACATTAGGTTTTATATAAACCAGAAATAGACTTAATTTATGTCATCCCAAACTGAATTCATTGACATTCACTGCTATCATAAATCTATGTGAATAATCTCAAATTTCCAAGGATTTTTTTTTCCTCCCTATTTTTAAACTCAGTATAACTTATGCAGCTGTGCTATTTCATTTTGTTAAACTTATGCAGCTTTTCAATTGTTTTCATTTTGGTATTTTTTTTTTTCATGTTGCATAAATTATGTTAATCAATCTTAAAACTCTGTTAACTGGTTCGGCTGCACTCGTGCTCAATAATTCAGTCTTTTAAATGGGAAAAAATTGTGAATTTTACAGATACTGGTATTTTCTATGTCATAATTTCTTAAAATTACAACATTCCTATTGAGTGAATATGGTATCAACAAAATATAAAAGCAGTTGCATGACTGATCTATAGTTCTATTCTATATGCAGTCAAAGCACCAGAAACGCAATATAGAAATATAGTTTGTGATTATAAAATTATGTATCTATAAGTTTTAAAACCAGATATTAAAGTGGGCCTTTAAAAAATCCTGAAAACACAAGATTTTAATTTTTTTCACATTATTTCACTTAATTAATTAATTAATTTTTTTTTCATCTGATTTGGTTTGATTTGATTTGATTTGATTTAAATTAATTTGATTTGATTGGTAAAACAATTATTTTATTGGCCCATAAATGGCCATAATCAATACTAGAACCAGCAGAATTGTTTTTCTAAATATAACCACTGAATCCAAACACTGCCATTATCTCTGCATGCAGTCTTCCATATCACAACCTTTCAAAAAAAACAAAAAAAAGTCCTCTATTGCATGTTTTTATGCATCCAATTACAGTAATGGAGAAAGGAGATACATATGCACACAAAACCGCTCAAACATATTACACTAGTCTAATAGTTACAGTGTGCAGTTTCTTCAAAACAACAACTATAATCAGGATTATTTGCACGAAATAATTTGGAGTTGATCTCCGTCACTGTCACACGAAGAAGGCCACAGGTGCTGCTGTAGTCTCGAGGTGCGCAAAAAAAANATGCATAGGCAAAACAGGCACACCTTCATGCAAGTTTACATAAGCCTAGCTTACCCATTGTTAAACAATTCTGTCGCCAGCTTGAAGTTGAACATCCATTATACTGAATCTCATGTGGTATAATTTAAAAAGAGGACTGATTCTCGAAGTGGTCAAATAAAAAGTCATACAGTACAGGGCCCACATAAACATGAAACCTCTCCGACCCCTGATCAGGTCAATGACCTCCCAGGTCAGTTTTTTTCTTGGTCATTGACCTCTGCTTTAATGTCAGTTGGGTACATTTGGGCCTGTTCACACACAAAAAAAAAGTTATAGACTTACCAGCAGAATTGCAAAATTAATGTGACATTCATTGGGGCTCATTTTCACATTTCCCACTGCCCATGGTACTTAAAATGAATACTAATATAAATTTAAGTCTCTAATTTAAAATTATACTTACATTAATTCAATGAGGTCACCCAAAGTGCTTAGCATAGGCTAAGTATGTCCATAAATCTCTACCGTAAAAGACCATTAACTTCTTGGTAAAATCATGTTAAGGGAATTGGAACTCTACTACGCCTACGTACAATGCATACATTTCTATAATTTGAACAAACAATTCTAAATTGAAGTAGAAATAAAACTGAACTGTACAGCCAATTTAATGACTTGGCAATATGGTCAATTTGTTTAAATATTACAGAATAGATAAAAACACTGTTCAGGGGAGTGAAATATGGTTATGCAGACACTAAAGATCGTGTTCTATGTACTCTTCACCCTAGGCTATAATTGCAGTGAGATGATTGAATTAAATTCACATTTAACCTAAGTGGACAGTCATGAGTTATTAGGAGTGACCTCATTCAGCAATAAAAAGGCTCAGGGAATTTTTAAAGCCAATTATTCTCTTTATCCCCCCTCCCCCCTCTCAATGTAATACAAGTGCGCCTGATTTGGTCTTAAAGTGCAATTTCAGATCACAAAAGATCTAAGCCAATTATTCTCCCCCTCTGCCTCAATGTAACACATTTATACACCTCTGGGTACTTAGTACACTGCACAAATACTAGTAACCAACATTCAATTATCTGACCTATAGTATTGAACTGAGCTTGAATGTCCACTGTGATACAACCTTGAAATTTGAACACTAAATGCTCTTTTTTCTTTCTGTGACTTACAGAATTTTTAAGGGTACAAGGCATATAACAAACTTGATAAGAAAAATTTAAAATCATTTGGCCTAAGTAAACAAGTAAATTTTTCACATGAGTCAACATGATATTATGCGGGTGCAAAGTTTCTTAGAGATAGCATCAGGATCTGAAATACCAGTTCTCATAAAAAATATTTAAAAATTTCTTGGCTAGAATCATGCTGCTGTAGTTTGAAAAAAAATACAGAAACTCAAGTTGGCATGATCAAATCATACATAACCTTGTCAAATTTGCAGGATATAATGTACAAATATGTCAAAGTATAAAATGTCAACGCCAAGCACTTGGCTTATCTCTCATGCCCTTACAACTCTTTTCCTGACAAAGTAATGACGGAAAACCCACGCAATGAAAGACAAATACTTTTTTTAAAAACAGAAAAACAGAGCTTTAGCCCAAAAATAAATGCAAACTTAAGAAACAAAATTTTAGTGTTCTTTCTACCAACTTAACCAAAATCATCTGAGGCTGAGTAGTTTGCTGAGGCAGCAATATTGATAACTGTTTCAGGAATGGTCAGCATTTTACCACTTTTGCAATCAAAATATGCCAAATTTAATGCTCAGTTTTGCCACAAAGTTCTTAAATAACTGTTCCAAGGTTCTGTGAACAAACGGTAAATTGTTTATCACTTGAACAGCATTCAAAAAACACAAAATGGAAACATTCTTAAAACACATCCGGCTTCTAGGAAAGTTCAGTGCGCATTGACTTGCTTCGGGGCAGATCTGTGCATGTCACATGATCTCGCTATGCAAATGAGGATGGTAGAATTTAAGGGTGTATTCCCAGAGATTAAGATCGATCCAGAGATTAAGATTTAGATCGACCTAACTCCGTGGGGTTTCACGCTAAATTGCAGTCAGCCGAGCGCACACCATAGTTAATTACCCCCTTGCAGCTTTCAGTAGGCGGGACAGACGCTTAAGCCGGCTAAGCTGACAGTAATCAAGTGAGACTCCCCACAGGGATAGATCGATCTAACATCTTTGGAAATGCAGTCTAAGTCTGCTTCAAGTCAAATAGTAGTATATATTAATATTCCAATAAAACTAAATGTTGCTCTGTGCCAGTTTTTTTTTTAATACAAAAGATGGACTAATTCAGACCAACACTAACTTTATTTACAAGTAAACCATAATGGATCTAACCTAAAAAGTGGACCAATTTATATATATAAATATATTGGTCTAAAGGTTTA